CATGTTGGCCCTGGACAGGCCGGACAGACCTCACCCCCCCCCCAAGCAGACTAACCTCCTCTCCCTGTACTAACACTGGTGGTCCAGCAAGGATGAACCAGAATTAGAGCTCTAGCATACTCCTTGAGAGAAGGGTGTTCATTCATCATCCACTCCAACTTTCCCTTTAAAACACAGAAAGCTATTTGCAGAAGTAATACAAATTCATGATCCTTATGGACAGCCAAGGCTCCCTACAGTACATTCATGACTGGACGGGGCCACCATTAGCCAATACTGATCCCAGGGGGGTGCTGTGAATAAACAAGGTACCTGTGGCAACCAGAATCTCTGACCTAACCTCTACTCTACTGTGGCAAAACCAAGTCCATCCTGGGCTCAAAGACTCAACAGCAATTTTCAACGGACAGTGCAGCCACCCTTGGTTTGGGCCTCAGTGTTCTAGAACCAGAGTGTACAGGGTGAAGGAACCCTTGGTACCAGAATCATCTTCAGTGAGGATTTTGGAGAAGCCCAGATCCCTCAACTACTGGATCAGGAATTGGGTGGACGAGGGGGGGGGCAGGGTATGAACATGGAAAACTTAATTGGAAGGGCAAAAGTTACAGATGAGCTGTGTGGATGCAGTGGCACACAGCTGTGGTCATGGCACTAGGGTGACCGAGGTAGATTAGCCTGGACAACACAGGAAGCCCCTGCCCATATACACTAAGGTGAGAACGTCATTTTGCAATAGTTTCCCACTGACTGGGAAGATCTAGCCTACTTCCAACAGGAACATGCCTCCCCTTCCGAGGGAGAGCTGACCTTTGCGAGGCTATTAAATGGGTTACTAAAGTAACCCACTGTAACTCTTTCACTAGAGTGACTAAAGGAAGTCACCAAGCCCCAGGTCTCAGCGTCCCATACGTACAATGGCTGAGTAGCTACTATCAACCTGCCCTTCATTTGACAACCCCAACAGGAGATTCTTTTCTAATCCAAAGTGAGATTTTTTTTTTTAAAGCATCCCTACTGCATCTGACTTTCAATTTCCACTAAAGAAGAGCCAAGCAATGGCTACCCCACTTGGCCACAACTTTTTGCTTTTAATAATATTCAGTCTTAGAAGATTTTTTTCCCCAAACCCTTTCCACAGTCCAAAGAGTAAGAACCACACATTTACAAAATTAAAACCTCTTCACAACTCTCCTGCAGCTTGCTGTTTTTGTTTGTTGTTTCTTTTTTAATTTTTTAAGGCTTTTTATATCCTTTTTGTCATTTAATCCTCCTGTGTGAAAGCCTGGGAAATCAATGCTCAGAGAGCTGAAGCTGCCCAAGGTGGCAGAGGCAGGTTGGGACTCTCCGCATCGTAAGTGAATTCTGAGCGGCAGACACAGTGAGAACAATCACACCGGATGCTATGCTGGCCAACCAGGTGTCCCCTGCAAGGCATGGCAAGAAATGCTAATCGGCAAGACACATATCCAAACAGCTTCCCCCAAGTTGCTACTAGAGGGTTGCATGCACACGCAGGCAATGGAGGTGGGGCAGAGCTGCAGCCGCCCAAGCACAAGCGATGCCAGGGATTTAGTCAACAGAGCGCTAATACGAGTCAACAGTGGGTGCTGCTGCCAAAGCACACCAATGGGTCTTCAGCCGCATTCATAGAAGGAAAGTGCTTGGCTCTCTCCATAGGCCCTGCCCTCACAGGTCCACCCCTGAGGGCTAGGCATGGTGAGGCTACAGGAACCACACCTGAGTCTGGGCATGGCTGGGCTGGGCTAACAGGAAGAAGGGGCTCACCAAGGCAGAACCAAGTTTTCTGAGGAGCAATGGCTCAGGGTGGCACTCCCCACCCCCACCCCCTTCTCTGCAAGGTAAGCCAAGGACACACCTGGGAGCTGAGTCCACAGCAAGCCCATTTTGAACTGCATGCCACACGTGCACTTTAGGAAGGATCTTTTTATTCACACTTTATCAAACTGAGGAAACAGTGACTGCCCACTGCAAAGGTTAAGGACACCCGGGAGTGCTAGGGCTCCAAGCCTGTCAGCGCAGGCTTGCTGGAGAACAACGGCTTCTTCCTTGTTACACATAATAACTGGACCATGGCTTGCCAAGGGACACTGGAATTGATATCATTTCAAGGGTCAAAAACTCCAGAAGGGCCTATTTACCCCATACCATCCATCCTTGGCACCAGGTCTAGTCAACTTAGCACCTCTCAGAAGAAGAAAAAACCATGTATCCACCTGTGTCTCCTTAGAAGCCTCCAGGCCATGTCTCACTCAGCCTGGTGTCCCCAGCGGAGTCTGACACATTAAAGACACCCAATGAATGATGACTAACTGGACGGAGGTGCCACAGAGCAGTCACACTGAGGGAGTTATTGTGTACCAGGCAATTGCAGGACCCAAGTGTCCTGACCTAGGCTAATAAAAAGGTTTATGACAACACATTACCACTTTTGTATGTTGAGTAAATGTATTCTTGAGGCTAATGCCACAGAGGGTTTTTTTGTTCTGTATTTTAAATTACAAAAGAGCCACAGTCAGCATGGCCAGGCCCATGGATGCCTATGGACATGGTCAGGTCAGTAAAAGAAGCTTAGGAGTATGGAGGTCAAAGGTAAATCCTATCTGAGTGACAAGCACCTAGGCAATGCCAGACCCCAGGAAGGGGGGAGGGCGGGGGGTCAAAAACTACAGACAAGTGAGACTATATGCCTGAAAAGACAGCGTAAGAAGGGACACAGGAGAGTGCGTCAGAGGAACTGCACAAACGCTACAGATTCCCCAGGGTAGGCTGCCTGGCGGTCACACTCGTAACTGGGAGAATTAATTACAGGAACTAACACTCTGATCTGGCAAGATTAGTGGAGGAGACTGAGCAATGCAGTTCTAATATCTAATAAATCTTTAAATCGATGAGCCGTGTTCACTGGTAATTTTTCTTCATCTATCCTCCCAGAGAGCTCACATGACAAAAGCCAGCATTTGCTTTCTATTTGCCTTTGGACAAGGTGCACAGACATATGCCTGTGTATATAAATAAAACTCTGGGGTTCACTAAATCACATCTTAAAGGCATCCAAAAATCTGCTATCACAAGAAAACCTAGGATGGATGCATTCCTCTGTAGCTTTTGAGGATGCAAATCCTCCCCCCCACCCGCGTTGCTCCCTGCCAGGGTTCTACCAGCTGCAGTAAACCAGCATTCCCATCTCAGTCTGTTCTCTGCCTACCTGTTTGGGTCTATTTACCACGCATGCACTTTTACTCCGTTTGCATTTTTCATCTCCGAAACATCACTTAAGCCTGTCTCACAAACCTGACAGTAGCAATACATTTTATCAACGAATTATCCCCTGGGGAACAGACAACAAAACCACTGGCAAGGAGCACTGTCAAACTTCCCAAGGATAGCTTTCCTTTCCCAGATACAAACTACGCCACATTCTCTCCAAACCCAAGCTGCCCACTCTGGAGACAGCCTGCTCACCTCTTCTCTTCTCTCCTTCTCAGCAGCCTCCTCTACCAGCTTGGTGGGGAGGGGGAGGGGAAGGGGAAGGGGGAGGGGGTCCGCGGGGGAGGAGAAGCTTGATAGTGTCAGTGCTGGAAAAGCAGTTATCAGTTTAATGCTATTTTAAAGACCACATCTCCAAGCATGAAGATGTTGGCTCCTTTCCCATGAATAGAAAGGCCCTGAAAAGAGTGTTTGCATAACGAAATTATATCCATGGGGCGCACAGGAAAGTACAAAAATAAATTTAAAAAACGCCATAAATCGAAACGGTCTCAAAATTAAACCTACACAGGGCAGCATTCAGCCCCAGGCCAGGCCAGCTATCATTTTCTCATCTGATACCCAGCTCTCTCCTGAACTCCACAAAGAACTCCTGCCGCCCAGGAAAGGCCTCCATGCTTTCTTTGCAAGTCGGGGTATGTTATTCCTTCCCGTGCACCCCTCGGGATGATCTGTTAACTCATGGAAAGCTCAGTTACTGCGGTGTCCTCAGTCCTGCCCAGAGAGTCCCGAAGGCGCCGTCTGCCGCAGCGCCCGGGTGACAGTAGGCGCCCGGCTGAAGTGTGGGCTTGATTGGATCGGACTGGCCCCTTGGGCCAGAAAGACGGTGGTGGCTGGACGCCCTGCCGGGGATAGCAGCGCCGGCCTAGCTCTCTGCTGGAGAGACCGGCCCGGGTGCAACCACCTGTGGGCGGCTGTCGGGGACACAGGCCCGGGCACTGCCGTCCTCTGGTGCCCGGGGCCCCACGCACGCTGCTGGGAGTGGGGAGGAGTCGAGTGAGCCAGGCCCGCGGGAGCCCCAGGCCAACTCCCAAGCACCCCAAGGTCTCGATCAGAGCAAAGTTAACCAGAGTTAGGTCTCAAGTAGCTCCATTCCTAGCGACGTCCGGGAAGGGGGACTCTCTAGAATAGGAACGGGGACCACCAGGAGGGAATCCGCGGCGAGGAGAAACTGTACCCCCCCCCCCCGTCCCCACAGTCCCCTCCCACTATCTCGGGGGCACCTGCTGGGTAGCAGGCGAAGCTTCTTTCCACGTTCTCTCAGAGGCCTGCGGGCGGGTGCGGGACGCCCCGTGGCAGCCCCGCATGGCTTTGAAATGATAATCCCAGCCTCGGGAAGGCCCCTGTCTGTGGGGGGCAATCCTGGCGGGAACGGCAGCCACCCCGAGCCAAGGGGCGGGGACGCTGCGCGCCGGGCAGGGGGCGAGGCCGCAGAGACTAGGTGGGCGCTGAAGAAGACGCAGCCTGCGGCCCAACGTGCCAAGCCAGGGGGGTGGGGGCAAGCGGGGCCAAAGACCAGGCCCTGGAGGAGCCCCGAATCCGCGGTCCCGAGGGTGCCAGGCTAAGGAGGACTGGCAGGCGGCGATGGGGGGAGGGGATCCCCGGAAAGGAGCTAGGGGAGCGTCCCGGAGAGAAGCCCTGGGGGCGGGGGTAGGGGGGGCTGCCCCGCGGGCCGTCGGGTGTCAGTGGCCCGGACCCTCCCCGGCACTCACCGGCAGGTCCACGCTCACTTCGGTCCCGTCGAGCAGGAAGACGCGGCAGTAGAGGGTGGCCTTGGCCGCGCCGGCGGCGGAGATGTGCACGGCCGCGCCGCCGGTGAGCAGGGGCCCGCCACCGGCCGGGAACACGCTGCCCCCGGGCGCAGCGGGCAGGGCCGAGGAGGCGACGGCGACAGCCGGGCCCCCCCGGAGCCCCCCATCACGCTCGTCCCCCAGCCCGGCGGCCCCGCGCCCCGCCGCGCCCCGCGCGTAGCGCTGCATGGAGCGGCGGCCAAAGGTCCGGCGCAGGAACCGCAGCATCCTGGCTGGGGGCGCCCCCTGCCTCCGCCCCCTGCGCCGCCGCCGCCGCCGCTGCGCCGCCCGGGAGCGCCCCGCGACGCCGTGAGTGCCCGCCGCCGCCCGCGTCACCTCCCGCGGGCCGCGGCCCGGGGCTCGCTCCCGCCCAAGCCGAGGCCGAGGCCGCGCTCCGGCCGCCCGCGGGGTGCGTCGGCCCGGCCAGCGCCGACTACGACTGGCCGCGGGCAGGAGGGCGCGCTCGGACAGCCCCGGGGGCCGTCCCGCCGCCGCCGCCGCCGCGTGCGCGGGGGTAGGCGGTCTGGCCCGGGCAGCGGAACGGCCGCTGCCGCCGGGGGATGGGGAGGTGGGGGAGGGCAGGAGGGCGCAGTGGGAGGGGGGGCGCAGGGGGCGGGGGCTGCGGGCTGCTCCCGCGCCGCGCGCCGGCCGAGGGCCAGCCGGAGCAGAGCGCCTGCGTGTTCCCGGCGCGCTCGCTCCCAACTCGCTCGCCGCCGCCGCCGCCGCCGCCGCGTCTCGCCGTGCCGCGCCCCGGCCGGTGGAGGCTCCCCCCACGCCGAGCGTCCCGCTCGCCAGGCGCCTTTCTCCTGCGCCCGCCCGCAGCCCCCGCCTCCCACCTGGGAGGGCTGCACCTCCAGCCCGCCGCCGCCGCCGGGACTGCAGCACGCCCTCCTCCCTCGGGGCTGCGCCGGGCAGCTGCAAATCGGGTGTGTGCTGCCCCCTGCCGGCCCCAGAGCCCCCTGCTGCTGTAGGTGTGCTCACGTGTGTACACGTAGGTGAGCACACACGTGTTTCCGGCGCCCCCAGCCCTGGAGATGTCCAGGGCCCCCCTCGCGTCGTTAGGAAAGCCGCGCTGACCGCCCGCCCCTCTCGGAGGGTTCGCTCCCGGAGGCCAGAGATGAACGTGCAAGTGGCTGCTTTTGGAAGAGCAAAGAGGTGGACGAGGTACAAGGACCCAGAAGGACCCTGCCACTTAATTAAATCTCATCGGTGGAAGAGCTCAGCGCTGGACGCGGCTTGAGCTTTCCCGTCCAACAGATGTACTCCGGATAACGAGCGGAGGGAAGTGGTTTTCCAGTGAACTGAAGAGACTGCTTACCTCGGGGGAACCTCTCTCTTGTCCAGGATTGAGGGAGAGTTCTGCTTCTTAGGCATCCCTGAGATGGGTACTTTGCCCTGAAGCAAGGTAGAACTAGGGATCTGGGAGTGAATAGGGATAGAACAAATCGGAATATGGGAGACAGCAGGCACAATTTACAAGCAATGCTCCCACAGGTTCAAGGTCTGCTTCAGAGACAAGTGGATTGTCGGGTGTTGCGAAGTGAGGAATGTGGAAGAGGGAGCTGAGAGGAGGTCAGGCCTCTTGGGAAGAATAACACTACTGTGTAGCTTCTAATCTTATGCTTCTTGCTTAAGCCTTCTTACAGCCTGGTTCAGTAGACATTCTTGTCTCCACTGGACAGAAGAGGAAACTGAGGCTTAGAAAACTTCAGAGACTAACTGCATAGTCTGTGCCTAACAAAGACTTCTTTATCCAGCTTCAGCGTAGATTCTAAAGCATGTGGCACGATTGCCAAGCTAGTGAATGAAGGTTTCTGAGAGCCTGGGGAAGGCTATGGCTTCAGCAAAAGAGACAGAGCAAAGGAGGAATGCAGTTGGGATAGTGCTATTTATTCCCGTTGGAATTTAGAGGGATTCAGAGATGCTGATGACAGCAACCAATACCCTCCTTTCTTGCCTGGTGTTCCCTGTTATGATGGAATCTCCCATGTACACCAAGGGGCCATCTGCAGTCAACCCTCAGATGCTCTATTCCCCACCCCTTGTTACTAGATGTAACAGATGCCACCAGCAAGTTGGCATTCAAAGATAACCCAACTGCTTACTGGTTTTTAAGGATAGCCTATTTCCTGCCATCTAGCCCAAGGGTACTTCAGCAGACTAAACAACAGTCACTCAATGATGTCCACATAATAATGGAACCTGTAACTATATCACCATATATATCTAGAGAGACTTTGTAGTATGAATGAGGCTGAGGTGATATTAACCTGGTAGTAATCCATGTGATCACAGAAACCTTATTAGAGGAAGGCAAGAAGGTCAGGGTCAGAAAAAACGATGTGACAAAGGCACCAAGTGCCAGAGTGATGGATCCAACAGCCACGGGGTGTAAGCAGCCTCTAGAAGCTGGAAAAGGTATAGGATGAAATATTTCTTAAGAGATCCTAGGAGAATTCAGCTTTGACTATATCTTATAAGATCTATTTAGGACTTAGGACTTTCAAAATTGTAAGATAATACATTTATATTTATTATACATACGTCATATATATAGTAAGACAATACACTTATTATAAAAGTGATATGCAGAGGCATTACAGTTATGTAAGTCAGGTAAAAAGTACATTTTTTGAACAATGTCACCCCTTCCTTCTCTCTCTTTCAGTTTTTCCCTCCCATTCCCACCCATAAGTTATATAGTTCATTTCCCACATAGTGTCTAGTGAGTACCACTGCTGCACTTACTCATTGTCCCTCCATTTCTATGCCTCCCTTGCCCTCCCAAAGACAAATAAAAGAAAGAACAAGACAAAAAGAAAGGAAAACAAAATCACCAACAAAGAATAAAAACCTCGTTGCATTTCCTATACTTTTTGAAACACGTATGTTGTTTTAAAGCTATAATACTGAATTTGTGACAGTTCATTTTAGCAGCAATAAGAAATGGTTGCAAGAGCAGTATATAGTAGTTTAGAGTGTTACAAGTTCCAAAGCCTTTCCATCTCCACGACCTCCTTTGAAATCTTCATGGTGCCACATCTCTCCTGGTAACCATCATTCAAGTTTGAGATTATACATGGCCATCTCCTCCTTACCAGCTTGCCACTGGTAAGAGTCAGTGTTTATGGAGTGTTTGTTGAATGAATGCAGGATCTCATTTCATCTTCATCATGCCTCTGGGGGTAGGTTTTCTTATTACTGTTTAGATATAGGAAAATGACAACTGAAATGGAGCCTGGATTCCCCTCACTCAGTGGCTCATGCTTTTACATCCTGTGGGCAGTACCATGTTGCATGAATGGCATAGGGACTCCTGATTGCTTCAGTTTTACCTTTCCTCACATGTGTCAGGCACTATCACTAAACGGATGTTACCCCATTCTCATTAGAATGCCTTTCAAACCTTAAAGCCCTAACTGTGTTAACTAACGTCTATATAAAAATCAGCTCTTTCAAAAGTGAATTGACTAGAGCTACACATATGCCCTGTTTACCAATATATCACTTTTTAAGAGATCTTAAACTATTATTTGGAACCTCCAGTGTTGTGATCTGAATGTTTGTGTCCCTCCAAAAATGTATATTGCAATCTTAGCCCTCAAGAATTAGGAGATAGACTACTCAGACAGCTGAGTAATAAAATACCAAAAAGCCAGAAGTGGAGCTGTGACTCAAGTCACAGAGCACATACATGGAGCAAAAGCAGCTCAGGGTCAGTGCCCACATCCTTAGTTCAAGCCCCAGGATTGGCACACGTATGCACAAAGAAAAGAATTAGGAGGTAGAGTCTTTAATAGGTGATTAGGTCAGAAGAGCTCTGCCCTCATGAGTGAGATCAGTCCTTGGTTAGTTTGGTTGTTGTATTTGTCCATACTAGGGTTTGAAATTGGGGCCTCAAGCTTACTACACAGGTACTCGACTACTTGAGCTATGTTTGCAGCCCAAGATATCAGTGTCTATAAAAGAGACTCCAGAGATTTCCTTGCCCCTTTGGCCATGTAAAAATACAATGAGATAGTGCTGTCTATGAACCAGGAGACAGACATTGCCACTTAACCTGCTGGCACCTTGATCTTAGGTTTGCAGCCTCCAGAACTCTGGAACTCCAGAACTCACCAGGATTTTTCCTCCCTTTCTGTCTGGAACCATCTCGGTTGACCCTTCAGGAAACAGTCAGTCCTAACTCCTAGGTCCTCTCTCCTAAGTCATGAGCAGTATCTTGACCCACTTCCTCAATACTCAGCTGCTACTTTCTCTGCTCATGAGAACTTTCCATTATCTTTCCCATCACCAGTCAAGCATTGTGTGCCATTAATAAATCTTGGAGAGTGCCTATGTAGTCTCTTTCTTCCCAGTAGTTTTACATGTTAATTAAATAGACCTTGGGCCTGTCTCTAAGGAGCTCCTTTATAGAAATGTGCCATTTATCCCTGTCCTTCTCTGCTGGCTTGTTTCTGAAACAAAACAGTTGTGCTCACATTCCATTGGGCTCCATTTCCCACCTCCAGAACAAGATTACACTTCAGTGTGTATTTCCACTTATTCCCTTGTTATTTTGTTCTTTCCATAACATGTGTTCAGAACTTATGGTGTGGTGCAAAGCCTTGTTGAAATTGTTTAATAAATGCCAGCTTAACCTTTCCACTATCATTAATTAAAGACCACACAGCAGGTAGCTCTGGTTTCTGCCAGGTTGATCTCTGTTTTTGTTTTGTTTTTTTTTGGTTACAGAGTTTGAGTTAATTTACAGAACCACTGCACCCTGACTCAAAGGCCTAGAGGTCTAGATGAAGCTGGTACTTCCTTCAGCTAATGTAACTATGCCTTGGGTTACCCATGCTAACTTCCCTCTGACTGGGCTTCCCTAATGAACTTCTGTCCTGTACTCTCACTTTTCCATCTTTTCTATTCCAATAGAAATCCAATGAAACAAAATGAAATCCAGTAGAACTTTCTACCATAGCGGAAGCATTCCATACCTATTCTATCCAATATGGCAGCCATTTGACTACTAGCTACCATTTTTTAATGCACTTAAAAGGTAGCTAGTATGCTCAAGGAATTAAATACTTAATTATAAGTTATTTAAATTTCCATAGTCATGTGAATCTGGTGGCTACCATATTGGACAATGCAAGAATATGGAATCCCATCACCTATGGCTAAATTCATCTCCCTTGTCCTTTTTCCATTCCCAATGTGTGGATTTAGCTTCATGTAGAGACCTC